TTTCCATACAAATTTAGACTTCTTAGATGTTTCATAAAATGGGCAGTGATCAAAATTACCATGGTCCTAAAAATACTTATTTTTGCCTCATTTCTTAAATTAGAACTATAGGGATGTGTTAATTGCATGAATTCATAGGTTCAAATCAGGACCAAAATCAGGTTTCATTATTGCTTTTATAACATTTTCATAATTTGTCTGACTATAAAAAATATAATGTTGCTTAGATTATGTAATATATTGCTTACAATTTAGAGTTCTAAAATTTTGTAAATCTTACAACCTAACAGCTGTATATGAATAACCTTCATTGAGTATTATTACCTTTATTAATTATTGTTGACATAACAGTTGACTTTTTATTTTAAATTTTATGCAAATTTTCTACATTACTTAAACATTTTATCTAACAGAAATCTGAATTTTTTGTAATAAAAACTCTATAATAAAAATAAGAGTACAATTTATATATAAAAATTTGACTACATGGCAAGCACTTAGACACTGATTTCAATGTCTTTAAATGTTATTATCATAAGTTTAGATATATTCTTATTAAGTTAAGATATACTTTTATTCTATTATAAAGTTTAGATGTACAGAACAGAAGGCACACTTTGTGCTTACGACTCAGTCAACCACTTGTGACAAGATAACTTATACAGTCAAAAGTCGTTAATCCGGACTCGTCGGGACTTCGGCGATTCCGGATTATCGATTTTTCCGGATTATAGATCATCAGTTTAAATCTCGTAACCGTAATTTATCAAATAAAGAACAATTATGATCTAATGGGTATCAAAATTTACAAAAAAAAGCTTAATATTTATTTGTTTACTTTATTAAACATTTCTTTCAATGTAAGTTGTTTAAGTTGCTTCGTTTTATGTGATAATACTTTCTCTTTAATTCTATAAACAGACATAATTTCTTGTTCAGTTACAAAGTTCCGCTGTTCAAGTCCCATAATTGCTGTGCCGAGAATACCGACTAACTTGTCAATCGAAATTTTTTTCGTTTTCACTAACCTCTCTGTCACCTTCTTCATGTCTTTATCCATTTTTTGCAGCAATTCCACTTTTTGTTTGATGGACATCGAAACATACTTTCGTTTTGTAGATCCTTTGGGAGCTCCAGCATCGGAAATTCTATTTGACATAATCGAAAGTTCAAGTTTACTTTTATAAAATTGCTCTTACAGTCTGCAAAAAATAATAAGCCGGATCCAGTTCGAAGATTAAGGAACAACGCAATCATCAACATTAACTGAAATAGATAATTAGATAATTTTAGCTTATACCGTCCGTTATACATTAAACGCGCACGCGAAAACGTATTCTGCACTTGCGCACACGCATATGCGCAGTCGTAAAGGTCTTACGCGCATGCGTAAACGCCTATGCGCATGTGTCAACGCGGCGCATGCGCAGAAAGTTTTTAGCTTTGAGGTCCGGATTATAGATCATTCCGGAGTATGGGTGTCTGAATTAACGACTTTTGACTGTAACGATTAAGTTCAAATGTAAAATTTAAATTCAAATAAATTTGTAGCCCAAAGGCTGCACAAATCAATTTAATGCAAAGTTGGTTAGAAATTTAACTGGCATGGAATTTAACTATCAGCAATTACAATGCAAGACTGAAGACTACAAATCTTGTTCTTATCTAACAACCTATTAAAGTGGCCTTCGAAAGGCAAAACACGGTTTGTTTTACAAACTAAAAACTTCATTTGGGATTCTGGTGAGGAAAATGGATGGAGGAAATTGACAGTAAAGATCCCAAGCATAAAATAATTCTGGTTACAAAATAAAGGAACGTTACAATATAGTACTTTGTTCCCTGATTAATTATTCAGTACATGAAATAGTGTAATGCATTTTTGTTTGCATCACATGCAAATTATTTAGTTTATTTAAATGCTTTCCAAAACTGACAGGATTTTGCAAACATATTGACCATATTTTTCGACCTATAAATGCAACACTTCTTCTCTTCAGAAGTAAGATTTAGAATTAAGAAATAAGAAAATAAGAGAGAATCATGAATAGAAAATAAATACATATGCTGGCTAGCAGAAGAAGGATGCCTTCATAAAGTACTTTTTAAGAGAAACTGGCTCAGATTCACATTACATCTACAGAAAACTACTAAAACTCCCATATAGCCAGCCTGAACTACCACTAGTGGTGGAGTGATAGCCAGCCTGGCTATCACTCCACCACTAGTGGATTCCAATGACTGTTCGAATTTTTCACAGAAATCATCATTTACGATGATTGTTGTATTATTACCATTGGTACAAAATTTTCTCATTATGATAATTTAATTTTAGCTTTTAAATTATAATCATAAATTACTTGTAATAAATTGAGGGATTAAAAAATACACACTTCTTAATATTTTTACCATTTACAATATTTAATCATAAAAAAATATTTCTAACACTGGTACAAAAAAAACTTGCCCATTATAATTGAATTTGATTTCCTTCACTTTGAAATATTTTTTATTTTCTTTAATAACAGAATCTAAGAAACTAAAGTAACATATACTAGTTTGAAATGCATTTATTAACCTTTTGTAAATTTCATTATTCATAAACATAAAAACTAACCTTTTGTAAATTTAAAATATTAGCTAAGTACTAATATAATAAAATATAAATATGAACTAACTACTTAAAATATTAATGTTTAATACATTATATTTTGTAATTAAAAATATTAACATTTTGTAAATTTCATTACTCATAACATAATAATTGTCATAAATTCATTTACAGTAGTGTTTCAAGAATTTATCATAGCAGTACTAGAAATATTGAATATTAGAGAAAGACTGTTTATTCTGATTAAGAGCTTATTTTTTAGGATTGTTATTTAGTCTAGATCGGGATTTGTTGACAATCCGCCATTTTTTCCGATCTTCAAAACCGGGTCTACCTTGGCGACCGAAGTTTGTCGCCAAATAAAAAATCGCCAAAACGACCAATACTAAAGCTGTTCTATACGTGCATAAGTGTGCACTGACATAAGAATTCCAAAATCTATATGAAGTTTGTCTTTTCAAGTTGAAACCTTATCTTTATGAAGATGTCGCCATCTTTGTACCAGGAGACCTTTGCCAAGGATTTTATCTTACCGAGCGTTGCCTGACTTGCATAATAATGATAATACTCTTATTCAGCGGTCTCGAGATTGCTTATTTTCCCAATAAGCATTGAGTGTTTCAGAGCTGTAACGTTTTCTTCGTTAATTCGACTAAAGTTCAGAACTTCCATAGTTACAGAACTGTAAAGCGTTTCTTTTGAGAAAATAAATTTTATCAATTTGGTGGACGGGTTCACTTTCATCTTGATTTCATTTCTCCAATAGTTTCATCAAGATAAATTTGATTAATTTGGCAAACAAAATTTATCCTTGCGTAAGCATGTCCGCAGCGCTTTTTGAAGTTAAAAGGCTGATCTTCATATGTGTTCTCCATCTTTATGCCTCCTCATCCTTGTAACGTTTCTTAGCTTGGGGAACACAGATATACCTACATTATGTGACCACAGCTTATACACTCGTCCTCTTTTTCGATGGCTGTATCTCTCTATTTCGTTCAGAAGTCTTTCAATAGTAAATGAAACATTGAAAAAAATATTTTTACAGTGCAGCAAATCAGTACAGCAAGCATAATAACAATATTGGTGGATATTTTTGGAACTAATTAATATTGCATCAATTTCCATGCTTTAAATGACGGAAACGAGAAAAGAATTTCTGAAAAAAATCAGTTTTGAAAAACCTTTGAAGTAAATGCATGTGTATCTTCTTTGGTTTAAATGACTTTTTGGCCAAATTAAGCAATGTGAAATCTAATACTCAGTTCTTCTAATAAAAATTAGTGCATGAATCATAAAATTAAACACAAATATTTTCTTGATATTGATAATACGAAGTACTTTCTTAATTGTGATTTGAAACACCAAAAAATTTACAGTACTCAAAGTATTTTCTGAACTGACAATATTTTCTGATCCTGCAAAGCTTATCACTAATAACTCAGTAAATAAAGCAATTTTTCTTCATAATAACTACACGAAAAGGTATTTTCAAAGGAGGAAAACAGTACTGTGTATAATAAAAAGTTGAAATATTTTTGGGAAATATTTTTTATCTCAAATGAAAGGTTGAAGTAAAAAGTGTTTCTCGAAATTATTTTTGTTATGTTCAGCAATTATTTTCACATTTGCTTAATATTCAAAGATTAGTCGAATGAAAAAATAAATAAAAAAATAAAAATAAAACTTTATTTGCTCGATCTTTGCATATTATACAAAAGAGCATTTTAGTTTATTTATTTCAATTGGTAATACCGATTAATACTTAAATTTAATGAATGTCTTCTAAAAAGGACGATTAATACAAGTATTAACACGATATAAAATTTTAAACAATTTCTTAGCGTGTGTTTTTAACACAATCGCATCTGATGCAGAAATATTAAAATTTGGCAATTTTCTCTGCAAACAGTAACTGATTGTGCAGTTGATAAGTAAAGACGACGGCTAATTGCTTTGCATCATAGGAAAGTCTTACAAAAAAAATCGATCATAAAAACAAATTCCAAATTTCAAATTTGATCTTCCACATGCCCATCTTCATAGGAGGATTACGTCATTCAAAATTCGATGGCTCTATGTACCGTTATTTTATCACAATGCGAGAAATATACATACATTTATGCAGATTTTTCATTATTCAATTTCTTCAAACATAATGCAGGACTCTAACATTTGGTGGCAACAGCTTGAAAAGTGAACCAGACATTTATAGTGATTCAACGAAAAATGGCAAAACGAAAACTATAGTCCTTTAGGGACAAAGCCCCTTTGGGCTAAAAAAAAAAAAAAAAAAAAATGCATGACAGAAACCAATTATTGTGCTTCGTTTGGTTATTTTAGCTTTGAAACATTCATATAAATTAATATAATGTAATAAATATATACTTACCAGAAATCATACCCCACGCAGCAGCATTAATATTCCCAGCGAAAAATGCAAAGTAAGCAAAAGCAGCTGTCCCTACCACGCAGCCTAAACTACTTAGGCCGATTAATAAAACAGAAAGCATTCCGCGCTGCGTTAAAATATTTCAAATTTATGGCATAATTTTAGTGTCATTGCTGCACATTTCTTCTTCGAAAAAACAGCTTATCTTCTGTATTACCTATCACATACTACTGCAATCTAAAACTTCCTGAATGCTTTATCCTCAGCTGATAGAGCTATTTGCACTGACGCAAAGGGTGCAGATTACGTATTCTTTCTCGCTGATACATAGAATGAGTCAAATAACATTAATAATTTCTGTACGCTTTTACAAAGAAACGATTATCTAAGAAAAGTGAAACCTGCAGTAGTGCTCCTGAATATACTTCTGAAGAACAAAGACTTATCCTATTGATTATTCTAGTAATATGTGAGTCACCCTCAAAATCAATAGAATTAGTACAAAAATCTACAATCTAAGGGGGTTCTCCTCTTTCGGGGCTTGATTTAATGCTACAAACATTCAGTACAGGAAACAAGAAATTATTTCAGCGCTCGGATAAAATATAAAGTTAATAGAACTTTCCCACTTGCTATAGAGCTTAAATTGCGCCGGAATCCGGTTTCGGTACTTCTTAATTTTTGAGATAAATCGTAATTCTAGTCGGAGCGCACTGGTGCCCTAAATAAGAGGGCTGTGGTGTTTCTTTTATACAACTAAGCCACAATTTCGGCAGAAAATTCTTTCATCGGGAAAATTTTATTTTAATAATAAAATTAGATTAAAAAATCTATTCTAACTCTTGAATATATACATTTCTTTCCCTTGGAAACAAACCATTGGAAGAGTTTGAGACTTATAAGCAAAGAAAAACCTCGACCGTATGTTAGGTCTCCGGAAAGTGCAATGAATGAAAGGCTAATTCTCCGGAAAGTGCAATGAATTTGTGATTAGCGGGTAATTTTTTCTTTTCAACCATACTGTCTTCCTGCCCAAAATAACACAGAAGAAATTGAGTCAATAATAGTGCGGATGGTGTCCTGAGGAATGGCTCCCATTCCCTTTCAACCATTTGCCTCAGTTCGTCTTCTGAACGAGGCAGGGGCCGAGTCTGCAAACGGCGTCCAATCACATCCCAGACATGTTCGATTGGTGACAGGTCAGGAGAGTATGGTGGCCAGGAAAGCATCTGCATACCTTGCAGAGCATGTTGGCAGATGCGAGCACTGTGTGGTCGGGCGTTATCCTGCTGAAAAATTGCATTAGGCAGCCCCTGAAGGTTGGGGACTGCCACCGGCCGCAGCATATTATCCAAGTATCGTTGGATACGAATTAGAGGTAACCTGGAATCGTAGACAATAGAGCCCCAAACCATTATGCCAGGTTGTCGCGCGGTGGGGCGTTCCACAGTTACTGCGGATTATATCTGTCTCCACGTCGACGCCACACACGTATGCAGCGACTGTCACTGGATAAACAGAAGCGTGACTCATCTGAGAACACGACGTTTCGCCATTCTGTCATCAACATCGCTCCAGTCCGGTACCATTCTAAACATTGGCGTCTATGCTGTGGGGTCAATGGCAGTCTTCATACCGGACGCCGTGGGTGCAGGCCACGTTTAACCAATCGACGGGAAATGGTTCTGGTAGACACGGGTACATCCAGGGTATCTTGCACATGCTGCAGAATCGTGGACACGTGACTTGCGGGACCGCCACAGCTTGTCGGCGGATGCGTCGATCCACGCGTGCTGATGTCACTCTGGCTGCACCTGCACTCCTCCTTCTTCTCACTTTTCCTTGTTCCAACCACGTTCGCCATAGCCGATGCACCGTGTTCGCATCCATGTGGGTATCAGCTGCGATTTGACGTAAGGACCAACCGCCCTTCTCAGTCCGATCACCATACCCCTCGTAAAATTGTCTATCTGCTGGAAATGGCTTCGTTGACGGCGGCATAGCATTCTCCCCTATTACACGTATCCTCCGGGACAAAAATCAACTTTCGTCGATAATTCATCCGGCAGAAATAACGACTCGAATATTGCCCATTCTGTACGTTCCTTCCCTTATATCTTACTTCACCTGCGTCGGAGAGCTGCGCATTTCACATCATTCGCATAACTCAGTGACATGCGTCTACTCTAAAATTTGCATAAATTTCTGACCACTCCTTCTTGGTGTTGCATTTTCAATGTCGAGCAGTGTATATTGGCAGGGGTTGTGATTAGAAAGTGTTGGATTTTCCTGATTTTGTGTGTATACTATCCTTCACTAAAATTTCTCCCATACTCTGATTCTAGCATTTTCTGTATTTTCAGTAGTGACGCTTTAACAGTGTTAACTTTTTTTTTTTCATTGATGTGCTGAAAAAGAAATCGTCTCTGTTTCTATCAATGCTTCAAACACACTATATTGTACATTTATTACTTAAAGTCAGCCGAAGCCAGGCTGAGCCATTTCTTACTTTTTGGCTGAAATTATAATTCTAGTCGGAGCCCCAAATAAGACGAAGTCCAGTATTTTACTGTTTAACTACTTACCGTTAATTTAATAATTTATTAAATTACTATTTATCTTTTTAACATTTATTAAATTTTATTTTAAATAATTAATTGTTTTAACTATTTGCTAGTTAATTATTATGTTAACTATTATTATTTTAATTATAACTAGTTAATTATTTTAATTATTAATAATTTTAAGAAAAATTTCTTTACTATTTTATTAGTTTTCTTATTAATTTATTTTTGTTCTTCTTTCCTGATGGTCATCTATAGGGATCTGGTATTTCTAATTTTAGAAATTAAGTACTGACTTGCTGAAATTTTATCCGGAAAAACGAACTATGACGTTTTGGAAGTAAGTTAAGAACTGAATCAATGATCCAGGAACAATTTTTGATATTTAATTGCGTTTCTGTCCATAAAAATTTCGGAGCCATCGATAGGCTATCTAATATGGACGTCAGACTAAAGTTTTTAATGGATTTGGATAGCTATTCAATTTGACTGCTAATTCAACAGAATCTGCTGTTTAAAATTTTGAAACAATCCAGATTCTCAGTTTTTCGAATGGATCTGTGCCTCCTTTGTTTCGCTTCTTTCAATGAGAAATGCTGCATTGTTTTTATTTATTTACGATTTTATTTATTTACGATTTTATCACAAAACGGCCGTTTCTTTAAACCTTTTCTAATAGTACGATTTTGTTTAGTAGTAACGTGATGTTGGGCGTTGTCGCTATTAACAGCAAATTCCAAATTTAAAAAGTCCCCTCAAGCAAACAAACGAACGAATGTAAATTACTAAAATTAAAATCCAACAACTTTTGCAAGGAAAGCGAAATGTGAAAGAATGGTGAAAATATTTTGCATAATGCAATTAAATATGTAGACACTGATGCAAAATTTCAAAGTGTTAGTTAATGGCGAGAATATTTCCTGGAACAGAATAATACCCTGCCGTTCAGTAGGATGAAAAGATCTGAAAGATCGCTTCCGCAGTGTTATATTTGTTTCCTTAATTTAACAAGGCAACAACATAAGATGTTTATCTGAAGTTAAGTGGACGAAAACTGTGGAAGAATTTCGTAGTCTGCCTGACTATGTTCGTATTTAGGTTATACGTAAGGTAAACCACGAACACATTTATGCAAACAGCCTGTTCGCTGGTATTCAGATTCGAGCAGTGCAACCTACCACTATTCAGTGGTCTTTCCACTCTGCCCGTAACCGGATTTTGAATCAGAGTTACACCAAAGAATCTCTCCTTAGAGATTCTTTAGCCGCCTACTTCAAAATCCGGTTACGACTACGTGCAGTGCTTATAACGACCACGTGTTTCTGCGACTCCCTTGCCGTTGCTTTATTTTTCTTCTTTTTCCCCTTTCTAGTAATTTCGTTCTCCTGTTGGAATATAATTATTCTTACAAATTAATTCTGTATTAAATAGGTTATAACAAAGGACTGAAAAGCTATTTGCCTAAGAGGGGGAATGCCTTTGTGGAAGACTTATTATACGAAAAATTCCTCGCTTTCATGTTACACATGCGAAAAACCACAAAAACTCTCCTGCAATCAATGAGTCTACTTGCTAGATTTGAAATTAGGTTGAACTACCAACATTCTTGAATTTTATCAACTGCCTATTGTGAGCCACTTCCGTGACAGGAATATATTGTTTATACACATTAAATACGTGTCCTCACCAGTGGGCTGGTTGTAACCACTGAACGCTGGTAGTTCAACCCAGGTTTGAACTAACTCGAATAGGCTAGCTGCATAGTTGGTTTTCTCCATGAAACACGAATATGAGATAGTTTCCCTTAGGAAGTTCTCAATGAAGGTATCCTTCCCTTTAGGCATATAGCCCTTGTGTACTTTGCCATATTCAAATAACCTAACCTGATCTTAAATTTGAATGTAATGTTCACAGTTATGGTAAATCAAACATTATAAGGTGTTTTTTTTTTATTTTATTGAACTATAGAGAAAATTACTCATTATCTAACACATGAAACGGCAAAAATTCCTGAATCATCTTGACTTTTTACTTAAATGTAAATGTAAAAAATTGATCCCCAATTTTATTCAAATCAAATCTAATCAAAAACCTTCGAGTCGCGTTTCAAGATTCTGTTAAATTGCAAGCTTGCCTTACTTCGGTCCGTGATAAGGGATACAACGTCAACAATTGTCCAAAATTGAACATGAACTCTATAAGCTTCATCTGGAACTCGCTAAATTCATATCCAAAATTCACTGCCCTTGAACAAAAGTCTTGGTCTAGAACGGAGAATGCAGTTAACCGTCATAAAAACACCCTTGCAGTTAAATTCGAAAAACTTCTTTTACAATCTTCCAGTTCAAGTAGCTCAAAAAATTTTCCCATTGTAAACATCAAGCCAATAGTTAATATTTCTAATGTTAGTCTTTCAGAAGAACAAGAGATAATTCTAAAATATAATTTTAACTTCTCACAAACCTGTAAACCCTCGATTCCAAAGATTTTGACTCCTATCGAAAAAGCTTTCAAGTTCAGTGAAGTTTCAGATTCACAGAAAGAAATGATTAGGCATCTTATCGCTCATAATGTGAAATTCAATAATAAACCTTTGAAACCAAATCTAACTGCGAGAGAAAGAGCTACAATGCGCGAAATTCATTCTAACCCGGATATTATCATTTTAAAGGCCGACAAAGGTGGCCAGATAGTCGTCATGGATAAGAACACTTACATCGATGGTGTCACTAAACTCTTAAACGAAGGACCATATAATCCGATCCCTAAAGATCCTTCACCTTCGGATTTGTCCAAAATAAAAACTGCGATCAAATCTTCGCAAATCATTTCAAGCAACTTAAAAAACATTCGCTTATCCCATCTGTTGCGAATTGTGCCAGATTATATGCTCTTCCCAAAATTCATAAACGTGGTATTCCTTTCCGCCCTATTGTATCAAATTTAGGTACTGCCTCGTATCCATTAGCTAAATATTTAGTTTCTAGATTTTCCACTCTATTAGACAATAACATTTACACTATAAAAATTCAATAGAGTTTGTAAAAAAGGTTAAAAACATTTCTCCTAGTAATTTATTCATGGTTTCTTTTGATGTAAAATCATTATTCACCAATGTCCCAGTGGAGGGTGCATTAAGATGTCTAGAAACCAGACTTCACGAATTTCCTTTCTCTTGCATCGAAATTGATGAGCTAATTTCTCTCACTCAACTCTGTTTGAAACAAACACATTTTGTTTTCCAAAATAAATATTACAAGCAAACTGAGGGATTAGCCATGGGAAGCCCCCCTCAGTCCCATCCTGGCTGATATCTACATGCATTATTATGAATCAAAATTGTTTGAAACTTTAAACTTCCCGGCATGGTTCCGCTACGTAGACGATACATTTACCCTGTTTGAAAGTAATAAAGATGATTTAAATAAAGTTCTTTCAACAATGAATTCTATTGATCCTGCTATTCAGTTCACTTTTGAACTTGAGACTTGCAATTCTCTCCGTTTCTCGACATTCTGGTCACACGTAACACATCCAACTTCAGTACTACAGTTTACCGTAAACCTTCATCGGTTTGCCTTCCACCACACTTTAAATCATGTCATCCGACTAAACAAAAGTTAGCTTCATTTTATTCCTATGTTTTCCGTGCTCTTCAAGTTTGCTCTTCCAAACTAGCCCTTGATGAAGAACTAAATTATTTAAAAGCAATAGGTATTGACAGGGGCTTTTCACCCAACATTATTAATGAAGCAGTTAAAAAATTCTCATCTCAACACACTAAAAGCCACACTCTTATTTTAGGAGATTATAAAAATTCTGTTGTCATTCCCTTCTTTCCATCAATTAGCTATAAAGTTGCACATATTTTGCAGAAATTTAACTTTCGGGTTGTTTATTCTCCCATCAATAAAATTCCGACTTCTATACTCAAGGACCCCATTCCAGATATGAATTCCTGGGGTATTTGTAGGATTCCTTGCCAGTGTGGTTTAATTTACATTGGCCAAACTAAGAGAGCCTTAAAATTTCGCGTCAAAGAACATGAGGCATATGTTAGAAAAAAGGAAACACAGAAGTCTTCTGTTGCTCAACATTGTTGGTCCGAAAATCACACTTTCAATTTTTTTCTGCTGCCAAAATTATTCAAAAAACATCTTCCATTGGAGAACTGGATTTTCTAGAGGCATTTCACATTCATAAAAATCTTTCTGTTCTAGTTAACGATCCTAATTCCAATCCAAATTTGCCTTCGGCTTTTAGAGAAATTATGTTTTAGTTCTGGTTTCGCCAACAGATGGCGCCACTTGCTTATTCTTGTCCAGGCTTTCTTATCTTATCTAATCATTATTTCCCATCTTGTTCATTTGCGGTTTTGCAGCTGAAGATGGTGGTTCGGTAAAACCATCGAAAGTCCTGTGAAAATTTTGTAAATATAACGCTGATTTTTGTTGTTTGACTTCTGAATTAGTACTCATTATCTGTAATACGTGTTTATTGATTGTTTTGTGTTCCTAGATATCCATACAGTATATGGTCATTTGGTCTTTGACAGTAGTAACTGCATTAACTCATTTGCATCAATGGGAAAGAAACATTATATCTATTTCAATGATCCATCCATTGCCACCTGTTTCTCTATAGTCTACATAAGACTCCTTATACTTATAAGTTTTTGTGCTTTTGCTCTTTCTATGTACACAGTCATTTGTTTTCATTTAAGGAAAAATCAGAGATTAGCATAAACTCTGTATCAAAATTCCAAAATCAGAAAGAAGAAAGAGGCACATGATATCTTTAAAGCAAGCCACATTACACTCTATGCGTGCAGAAAGCTAAATCTGAGATTTTGCCGAAAACAATGAAAACTGCACTATGCTGTCCATCACTAGGCTAAAATATTAAAATTCCATATAGGGGGGATCATAATGTGCAATCACGCTGGTGAAAATGCCCGGAGAAGTTGCTACGTAAATGCATTTTCATGACCTGGTGTGTTGCTTCACCATTATATTCTCATGGCTTATAATTGAAGTACTATAAATTGTCAAAGTCTTCGCTACATAATGTAGAGTTTTATGAAATTAAATCAAACATATGTTGTACACTTCTAAATTTAAAAAAAGAAATTAAAATACATTCATAATTGGGGGACATCAAAATCAAAGCATATCGATATGGCAACCAAACCAACTGAAATATAAATGGAACCTTAGTTTTAAAAATGTTATGGCACTTCTTTAGTTATGGCACTTCTTTAGTTTAACCTTGGTTTTAAAAATGTTATGGCACTTCTTTAGTACTGCAGCTTCCATTTTTTGAAACGTCAAGTTGACATAAGTACTATTGTCAAGTTCAAGTTTACTTTTTATGCACACTTTGTAGCTGCCATGTTTCCTCAATTGTTTTTAATACGGCATAAGAAGTATTCCAAGGTGTCAAAGATTTTCACCACATGAACACTGTAAGATTCATGATGACAGTGAAACGTGCCTCTTCAATTTTTATTCTACCACTTACTAGAGCTCTATAATTATTCTATATGTTAGGTATGAGAAGCTGTTGTTAGCTCAAGAAAATGAAATTTATGGTCTACAGTAAAATATCTGTAAGCTGCTTTGTTCCTGTCTTTCATATGCTCACTAGCAGTTTGAATAAATTATATAAGAGTTATAAAGAGGATTTATCCGAGATTCTATCTATTATGAATTCAATTGATCCAGCCATCCAATTCACTCTTGAAATTGAATCCAACAATTCCCTCCCCTTCCTTGATATTTTTATAATCCGCAATGAAACTGATTTTAACACTACTGTGTACCGTAAACCCTTTGTAGTTTGTTTACCACCCCATGCCAAGTCATTCCACCCTGTTAAGCAAAAAATGGCTTCTTTTTACTATTATGTATTCCGCGCGCTTAAAATTTGTTCCTCTGAATCTTTGCTTACCAATGAACTTAATTATTTGAGAGCAGTTGCGATTGACCGTGGATTTTCGCCCGTGATTATTGATAAAGCCGTTAAAAAATTTTCAGATTCCCATCAAAGAAGACATTCCACTGTTAGAAATAATATTAATGACCTTGTCGTGCTTCCATTTTATCCTTCTGTTAGCTATAAAATTGCACGGATTCTCCAGAAAATCAATTTTTAAGTCGGTTTCTCCCCTATTAATAAAATTCACCCTTCGATTCTAAAAGATTGCGTTTCTGTCTTGAATTCTTGGGGAATTTATAGTATATCGTGTCAGTGTGGTTTAAGATGTATTGGCCAAACAAAAAGAGCGTTGAAGTTTCGTATTAAGGAACATGAATCTTATGTCAGAAAAGGTGAAATTAACAAGTCTTCAATAGCGTATCATAGTTGGACATTTAACCATAATTTTGACTTGGGTCTGCAAAAATTATCCAAAAGGCTTCTTCCATAGGTGAACTGGATTTTCTTGAGGCTTTTCATATTCACAAAGATTTAGCATGTTTAGTTAATGATTTTAAGTCCAATCCTGTCCTTCCAAATGCCTTTAAAATTCTACAATTTAATTCAGTTACTATTTTTGCCGATGGATGGCGTTACCTCCTCGCGTTTGGTACTACCAGAGGGTATAAAAATCCGTTCAATGGTTACTTTTCATTATTCGAAATTCAGATTTCGAGCGTGAAGGTGCAGTTGCCCCTCGCTCCCTATTTTTAACTTCGCTAATTTTCTTGTTCTTTGTGTTACATGTTTGATCAGATAGCCTGGCTCAGTAAAAGTAGGCGGCCAGTGTAACTCTGATTAAAAATCCGCTTATAACCACGTGCAGTGCTGATAAGGACCACGTGTTTCTAAGACACCTACCCCTTTATTTTTCTTCTTTCTAGGTATTTCTTTCTCCTGATGAGGAAGGACCTTTAGCTGCCCTCAAAATCGATTGAGTGTTCAATATACTTACGCTAAATACAAGGTTGTTTTTACGATTTTGATGGATGTAAACTGTCTGTTCCCTCGTAGAAGGTAATGGTGGCCGCCTATCAGGCAGTTTTATAATAAATTGACCACCACTTCTGGCCTTAGTAGTGGCGAAAGCCAACAATGGCTAGTGCCCGTCGTTAAAAAAAAAAGAAAAAATACCTCTGCTGGACGAATACTAGGAGCCAAACGCCATGAAAAACAATCCTTTCCGAAGACTTTACGAAAAAACTACATATCTGAGGAACTTTTGTTTATATAATATAATATTTAATTTTATTTCCTTATTTCCGTTCCTTATTCCTTAGCTTTTCCTTATAATAAGTAATTTTGTTTCCTTCGCTCTTCTCAATTTTGGAAAGTTATATCTTGTGGCGTCGGAGAGCACTCGTATTTTCACGAAGGTAGTTTATCAGGATAGAAACAACTCGAATTGGCTAGGGGGGCGTGGCAATACTCTAGTTTTAAATATTTTGAAAGTACGCGATGGTGAAGTTATGTGCAAGTGTTTGCTGCGCTTTTAGCAAGAAATGATATTTTATTTCCTATGTAATTATGATCTCTTTGATAAGAACATGCCTTTGTTTTTTATGTGTATTCTTACAGTAAATTTTAATTCGAATTCCGTATCATTTAACATTAAATGCAAAAGTATTGCATAATTTAATTACTCCATTATTACTTTTTAAAATCGCTTTTGATTAGATTGTAATCAATCGTGTTATCGCTTTCTTTAATTTTAATCCTTAGAAATGCTTCTCAGGTAACTGATATTTGAGCAAAATCATTCGTCCGCTGAGCCCAAATATTTATGATCTGTTTGTAAACAAATGTAAATGCAATGTATGTTTTCACTTTGGTAGCTAAGGAAGATAGTTCTGTAGTCAAACCATCGAAACTAGTCCTGGAAAATTTACAAATATAACACTGATTATTGTTGTTTTGACTTCTCCAATAAATATAAATGCATTTAAAATGATGTAAATTTAATATTATTCTCATACTAAGTACATAATGTTGAGTAAAGTAAAATAATAGCCTTCTGTTAATATTCAGTCTCTTAACACTGAAGACGTCTGTTAAGTATTCATAACTTCTTTGACTTCAGAATTTTTTTGGCATTGCCGTTAGTGTTTATGTTAAGTTTTTAAAATTTATATTGCTGTTAAATGTAAATTTATGCAGTGTTTATAGCATAATAAATTAGATTACATAACTTTTTTGTTAGTCTTTCATTCATATTTTTGTAAGATGTAAAGAAATCTTAGTTTAGCTAAGAATATGTGTTTCTGTGAATAAAATCATTATGTAAAATAGCTATGTTGCAGACTTTTCTTACCATGTCATGATTTTACTACTGTTGTGCAAGTTGTGACTTTATTTATTAACATTTTAATGAAGCTTTCTAGATCATTAAAAATATTTATTGAAGAAATTAATTAATCAAAGGTTAGTAAAAGCAGTAGTTGTAAATATTGTCAAAAATATTGTTTCATTTAATATGAGGTGTTGAATTATCTTGGTTATTGGCAAGGCAAGAAAAAAGATACTTGATTAAAAAAACTAGGTAGCAGAATATTTGCCATTCTCAAAATGCATTTAGCACTTTGAGTTAACATTAGTAAGAAAAATAACAGTTTCTTTATAATTTTTTAAATCTGAATTAAAATATGGTTTTTCATATTTTACACATATTTTCTGGATTTGAGTTAATAAACTGTGTAAAAAGTTATTTAAAATTTTAATAATATACAGCCTTGAGCATTTTTTAGTTTAGAGATTAACAAATGAGTTGTATGTAATTTTATAAGATTGAAATTAAAACTCTTATTACATATATATTTATATGTAACAAGAGTACATACATATATATGTATATATATGTGCAGCATGGGGGCACTCTAAACATGGAGTAAGCCCCCTGGGGGGCTGTGCCTCAAAATTGGGCGCAGAACTGAGCAAAGTTGTACTGTCACCTGTGTAGTGCTTGCCAATAACAGGTGCAATCTTGCACTCCTATTCACGATGATTTTCATGGGCTTGTGCTGATGTTGCTGTCAGACAAGTGAGATAAGTCACAACAATGACATATATATGTCATTGTATATGTGTGTGTATATATATACACACACACATATTATGTGGACAAAATGGCTCTAGTGTAGAATTGGGTGCCCCTTTGATTGACAATAAATTTTGTTCAATTTTGGCGATGAAATCACATTTTTGGTTACCATGATAGTTTTAACTTAGTTTTTAGCTTCCAGTGCCATCACGTTAGGGTTACCATAACTTTGTTTTAACCTTATGTGACAACATCATTTTCCTGATTTTTTTAAGTGAAAATAGATCTATGTGAGTATGAACAAAGTCGGGTCAGTGCGGAGTTTGTGCAACTCTCTGATTTTTTTTTTTAAAGTGAAAATAGATCGATGTGTACGTGAACATCGCGTTTCTGCAATTCTTTGACTTCTTATTTTGTAGTGACCATCTTGAAATTGTGCCGATCTTGCCGTCAAAAAAGGATTGCCAAAAAACAAGAGGCACCCAATTGTAAACTTTTACCGACAAATTTTTATTGCAGACCATAAAGGGACATACTAATTTTAAGTAAGCGGTAATTAATTTCTTCTCAAAATCAATAACTGTGTTTCATGATATGAAAGCTCAAGTAAGTAAGTACACAGAACTGATAATTGGCTAATGGCAACTGAGGCGGTTGTTACGAAAGCTAGTTTCTGAGAATAGCTTTTGAGTGATATCTCCTACAGTAACTGAAACTCATTAAAATCCATTTTGTGTATTGTTAAGCTTTTTCTATTTTTTATTATTAAATAATCTGTATTCTGTTAAAAAAATTAATGACAAAATGCTAAAAATGATTTTAATTTCTGAAAATTAACTGCATTTCAGGTTACCCTTCTAAGATTTTTAAATCTTGATATAGGTAGCACTTTTGTTATTGGTGGGGTATATTTTTTACATTTGGAAATTAAATTTTTAGCTTTGTTATGCAACAGACAACAGTGATAGAATAACTGCAGTTAAATTAATACAAAGTGGTTATTAAGCAAATGTGTAAAGTAGATGTTTTCGGTTGTTTCGTATCTAATGAACTTAATCATATCCTTGAATTTTCTGGAATTAGATATTTGTGTTATGCAGATGATACATTCTGAAAGAATTTTAAAATATATTGTCTTATGTGACAGTATCACTTTTTTAAACTTTTCTTTATTCTTGTGTATCCATAGCTGTTTACTGTAACATTGTTAAGATTCGTTTTCCATATGCCTTGACATGTTAACCATTAGTAGCTGTTACAATTAATTTGCATTAATTGTATGAGTGTAGTATTTGGGTGGGGATGGATTAATTTTATTTTGAAAAACAAATTCTGCTTTTTAAATTTACACAAAACAAGATGTTGACTGTTTTGATAGTTTCATGAAGCCATATTCTTCCTTAATTTTTGAAAACACAAAATTTTTTGTGCAATCTTAGTAGTAAACATTTCAAGTAAATTTTTACTTTTAGACATTTAATATTCATTATGGCTGCTGACACTGATGAAACAAGGGAGATGGATGTGAATTTTGATGCTAAAGTTATTGATGCTGGTAGCCAACGAATTTTGCAGTTTGTTGAAAACATTCCTGGTGATTCAGGTTCACCTGCTGTGGAAAATGATAGTACAAAGCATGATTTTTTTGCAAAGGCATGTTATTTTTTTTTTTTTTCTTCTTGCATTTAGAAATTAGACAAATTCTTAAATTTATTTATGTTTCCTCTTAAAATGATTTTTTTAAAAAAATTTACACTGTATATATTTATAATGTGAATATACATATATAATGATATGATAATTAAAAAACTTGGTACTGTTCTGTTATCGCGAGTGGATTAAAAATGTATGAACATATATGTATGTGTATATGTATACACACACATATACATCCATGCTTACATATGTACATGTATATATGAACACATCCATCCATCCATACATATATTTCCGGATCCTGTCCCCCCCTGATAACAGAACAGTACCAAAAACTCTACAAAAGCACAGACACACTGTATAAACAAGAATGATTATCATGAGGTAAACACTTTATCATTGATTAGTTATAGTACCTTATGAAAAATTTACAATTATTTCATTCTTGATCACTGAAAATCTTAGATGATTATTTGCTGATATAAATTAACTTGTTCTCGCCATTGTTTTCACATTGCAGGTTTTTGTAGCTAAAAAAATGTTGCTTTTGAAATTATTTGTCATCAAGAAAACATTTTATTGTAGTAAAGTGTTCAGATGTAATTAAGATCACTTAACTGCAGTTGAAAATATTTTAATAGTGATACGATTAAATGCATTTAATTGCAATATATTTAAATGGGGTACTTACATATTATCCCATCAACTTGAGAACTGTCGCCAAGCAGCTTGATGTGCCCTCTCCTTTGATGTAACCCCAAGTAATCCTTCATAAGTCTGCTTTTGTTTTATGAACAAGGATAAATTAACTATTATTGCTGTATTTTTTCATTAAAAAAATAAAATTTGTTATCTGCCATCTGCAGAACAGAAAACAGTGGATTATTTTCAAAGTTATAATGTGATACTAGTATAAAAAATATCCATTAATGGATATGATATTATCAGCTGAATGTAATCAACAAAACATTAATAGACTGGAACAATTACCTGTGGGAAATTCATATTCATAGTGCTCTAGAGGGAGCTTCTAGTAAAACTGGAAGGGCTAACAAAATAGTTGAAATAGACGAAAGCCTTTTTATAAAACACCAAAATAAAATGCATCAAGTATTGATTGTTTATTAAACAAAGAGGCATCAGTTCCTTCAGAATTATGCAGGAATTATTGGCACAACTTTTTTGGGATCTCCACCAACTTTCATGCTCATTAGGATAATGTATAAATATCTTTAAATGCAATAGTCACTTCTGCCAAACTTTTATATTCTTGATTATATTATGTTTTTGTGCTTGTTATACTTTATAAGTTGTTGTTTTAATTCATTAATTAGCATTTCTGAAACATTAAACTTAATTCAAAGCTATTTTTCCCCTTTGTACATATTATGCATTGTCACTGTTTTTGTAATTTGTCCATTGTCTATATCTGAAATAAGTATAATTTATCAGAAAGTAACACTATCTGTTCCTCTGTAAAACTTATACAGTTGGGAAAATGGAAAGTGAATGCAAATATGAGAAAGTATTTCCCATTTGGCTAACATTCTTGTAAATCTATTCTATTGCTTGCATTGACTATAAATTTGCTTTGTTTGACATAAAAGGTAGGTCATAAATACTTTACAAATATTAAAACTGAAATTTTAATTCACTTGTTTAATCCTACCATTATATTTATATTATATTCTAACATTTATGAAGTCAATTAAAAGTACAAAGCACACTTTCCAAGAGCAATTTATTCACAATACAATCTCTCTCAATACAATTCACGATACAATGACTCTTAATCACAATACACTATTACTGGTTTTATAAAAATGCTGTAATGAGGAAAATTTAAGAAGAAATAAACCTTTAGGACATCTTTGTTTGCTACAAACTGCAAGAAATGTGAATCATGTATGAAATGACATCATGCACAGCTCTTGCTTGTCAACTTAAAGGTAATCAATTGCCATGGGTACTTTGAATATTGTGTGTATGGAATCTCATACCAATACATCCTCTGTCACCTGCAGATTGCAGTTATTCTAAAGTTAAATGCATAAGACAAATGCTGATTGTTGTTTTGTAAAGGCTTTGTGGAAGTGATGAGAGAAGATGAAAATTTAATGCATGAATTACTCATGTCAGATGTGTCCTATTTATAGACAAGCTTAATCCTATTTATACACAAGTAGAACTTTTGATTTGGGACTGAAAAAAAAAAAAGGTGCTTTTGCGTTATCCACCCAGTGGTGAGAAAAGTCACTGGACAAAGCACTTTGTTACCAAAGTAGGCAACCCAAAATATAACATGTAGTTTATCTCACATGTGCCAGCACATAATGGGTACCATTTTGGAATTTTGGATGTTTAGCATAGTTTTCAGTGTGCCACCATCTTTTTAAAATGGCTATTTTTTTTTTTTTTCGTGTGTTAAACTGGTGAAAAAGTAGCCATCAACAAGTGGTGACTTTACAGAAGCACTATATGGATAAAGGGAAAGTACCAAAAATAATCTACTCAGGTTACATGAACGAAATGTGCACAGCCCAAAAGTGTGTTGGGCTGCTTCATTTGAGAAATTGTTATATCTTATTTCTCTGAAGATGAGAAAGGCAAGCCTATAATAGTTGTAGCACTACATAATCATGTTGCAGAAATTTCTAAGACACTAGATTAATCTTTATTCAAAGGCTATGGTTTTAACTGATTAGAGCAATAGCACATGCCACAGATGCTTTCATATTAGTTGGCAAAAAGGTGTGTTCTGTGATGGGTGATTTGAAGAAAAATTGTCTGCCTGTTTGTTAGATCTGACTGCTGTTTTTGGGGGTTATGAGAAAGACCAGATTTATGAATGATATTTGATAAGTTTTAAGAAACTATAAGATTTAATTCCTCATTGCAGTGGAATCTTTCTCAGAGGCTTCTAAAAATTAGTTGTATTCAGTGATTCACTGGCAGTATTTAAGTAATCATTTATTCATATATATGATTGCTTAAATACTACTATTTTTAAAATATAAACTCATCCATTAATTTTCCATTGAAAGGTCATTGTGTCACTTTGCAACAGTAAATCTTTCTGCTTTGCTCAACATTATTTTTTAAACACTGGTATTTATGACAACCTTAACGAGTGACAAAATAATAATATATCATTTGTTTGTGGCGAGTCTCATAACCTTTAAATATTTTTATTAATTCAGCATTAGGCTTTAGAAAACTGACAAGTAGTCAAGTGGCTAATGCAACAAAATTTTGAAAATTTGGCCCAGGTTATTCCTGCTGATCAACTGCATGAAGTTTTTATTATTTTCTGCATGTATGAGACAAATAAGTCAGCTTCTATTAGAAAAATTTAAACAGCATACGCTGGCAGCACTTGCATGCTAGCCCTAATTGAATTACCTGAATCTTAAGCTTTACAAGCTGTCACTTCAGAACTGTAGAGAATTTTTTTTAAATATTAACAAACTTTTTTTTAATGTAATTAATGGGGGTATATTTTATTCTTAGTTTATGGTACCAGTATTTTTGGATAAACAAGCTCCTAATAAATTAGTTTTAGATTTTATATGTCATTGCTGTAGCTTATATTTAATACTAAAGTCCATCATATGACATATTTTATCTTATGTGCAAGTACTAAATATTGATAAAAATTTTCTATGAATGTTTTGCTGTTAATTCATTTTTCATATGTAACATTGTTGTACATTAAATCAAATATTACTCTTTTCATTGCATAGTATTGTAGTATAATTTATAAATTCATAACACACTTTATTTATTTATTTGCCTTTTCTATAAGTTGAACTTAGACATGTGATCCTGTTTTATTTCTTTTGATTAGGGAAGAGATTTAGAAAGTGCTTTCATAAATCATAAATACACAGAAGCTGAGAAAAAAGTCTTAGGCCATTATGAAAGTTTGGATTATTTGCCTCCTCACAGTAAGGCATATAGGGATTGGATAGCTAAGCAGCCATCAAGGTAATGTTTGTAAATAAATTTATTTTGCATTAGTAGTAATAGTGTATTATACATTTTTATTCAGACATTTTGTATTTTGATATTAATATTTATAAACACACTTTGGATTTTTCTATTATAGAATAATGGGCAGTATACTGCAGAAAGCTATATGTGCTAATGTTGCAAACTGCCTATGGAAAATTGTGATACTAAGTGTTTTGTTGTTATCTCTTATAATAGCATTCTTGTTTTCAAAGTTGGTATTATTAAAAAATTGTTTTAAAATTTGTCACTCTATTCTGTTCTTTGTTTACTGAAATAACTAACCAAAGGGTTATATTTCTTATGGCTAGAAAACTTTTACCTAAGCCAGAATGAGCTGATGCCAAAAGTATGTTTTATAGCTGGAAAATATAAAGTTTTTGCATATATCTTTCTACACATAATTGTTTAGTGCATGTTTTCCTATAATGAAAAAGATCTCGCATCCCCCGCCCGTATTTATTTTGCAAGAGAGTTTTATCATTGTAACAATCATATCCCAGTAGCTGTACTCAGTGATGCACTGTTGACATTGGTTTTAAAACATTTTTGATGACCAGAAAAAGTGTCTAAATTATAAAACTATTTCCAATCAATAGTAGTTTATAATACAGTGAAATACAGCAAGCCAAATTTGCCTTGAGCTACCTTGCCGTGACAATTTTGATACAAACATTTGTTTATAACCAAACCAAACCTACCAAAGTTTTAATGCATATGCAGTACTTGTATGGAAAACATGATTTTAATTATTTTATTATCCAATAAAACTGTACTTGGTACTCTACAGTTAAAATTTTTCATTGCTGCATTATCTTTTAATCCTTTGACAGATTAAGCAATTCGTTCTTCTCAAATATAAGTGATGTCTGTCAGTCGTAAATTTGTAATGGATGCTGTGTTTGTTTGCACCTACTACAGTGCGTAACGGGAATGTAAGCTGAGCTCATTGATGAAAGTTTGAGTTAGGCTTTAAAATGTTAGAATTCTTTATTTTTACTTGTCAAAGAAAATATACTTTTAATCTACATTGTAGCATACAGTATACTCTATTTATCTCTCATGATATCTTACTCTGTGAATTTTATAAATTAAACCTTATTGTATATATGTGTGTTATATGAATATGATAATTTATGTGCAGTGTTCTATGTTATCCATGAATTCATGTAGCCTCAGTAGGTCCCAGATTATATTTGCCATTATAATACAGGCACCTATCTATTGCATATATGTTTTAGAAGAATGTGATAGTGTATTTTTTACTAGTAGTATTATTGGTAAGTTATAGATTGGGGGTGGTGAAAGTGTATAAAAAATTTATCGAGAAAAGAACAATTTATTGGTATTTGTAAACCATGTTTATTTAATAGTTTAATAGTCTATTTTGTATGTGTTTTAAATGAGAAATATCATTTACCATTATGAACTTCTTTTTTTGCATTTGTTCTTCAGGATTATATTTTTTAGCCTGAAATTACTCATATTACAAGCTTACAAATATTAGTTTTTCTTAAAATCATTTTAGGTGTTCATATCACTGCAAGAAAGAGTAAAAACTGAGATGGAAAGATGAAATTAAATGTTATCAAACATTATATGTAGTGTGTTTTCAGCATACTAAATAACCTTGATTTTACACTTTTTGCTTATTTTGTCTCTTTACATTAACCTGATGTGTAACCTAGTTTGGAGTTTAAAAACTTCTAAATTGCATTTGGGTTTAGTAAATATTTACTATCTTTTCAGGTTAGATTGGGATTACTGGGTGATGATGGGTCTTATTGGATTTCTTGTTGGTACTCTTGGATTTTTACTCCATCAGTTCATTGATATATTTGCAGAAATAAAATGGGAAAGAGCTAGAAAATTTATAGAGGTATAATATTGCTTTATGTAATGTATTGACTATTTTTATGTCTCCTGTTATGTACAAATTTCTTACATGTGTATGTGTGCTTTATCATAGTTTATAATTGTGTAAATATATGTATGTGCTGATGTTGATACTAAGCAATTTGTGGCATTTTACATTAGTATTAGTCCCTTCATTGCAGGTCTGAAATGTGTTTATATGCTTAGCATTTTGATGAGATAATTTTATATAGCTTTAAGAAATGTAGTTCTTCACTGTTTTGCTGCATTTCGTGTCATTTGAGAAAGCTCTCCCATTCTTAATTAGTTTGTTGGCTACAGAAAACATTAAAAATGATGCAATTAAAATGCATTTCAACAACTTTTTGCTACAAATAAGCTTGACGTTATTTTATAATTACAATATTCAGTGCTTGGATTAAGTTTCAAAGTAAAATTTCGAGATAGTACACCAGATGCATCAGCCCAGACACTTCAAGCACACCAGATGCTTACAGTATGCTGCATAGTTATAGTGAAATAGATTTCTTCTTGTACTTTATAGCAACTTTACATCTCACTTAATTAATTTTAAGTCTCAAAATGTTTGGAAGTCATCTGTGTATTATATCCGTACTGGTTTATTAACTGGCAAAGTTTCAGCTAATAATGACTGTCATCTGTGTATTCTTATCACAGTATTAGTTGATTGGCAAATCTCAACCCTTCCAGGCTGATCACATTTTGTATTGAAGAACAGTTTTGCTTTCTTAGAATCTGATACATTTATCTGATTGCAGTATAAAGATCCATATCCAGTATATATGCCTATTCATATCATCAGCCTTATAGATATTATATATACAGAATTTCTACATCAACTCAAATATATTCTTTGATGTCCAGTAGTCTGTTACTTGTTCAGTTATTAACTGACATCATAGGTTGTCTAATACTTTTTAAACAGAAAGATTATTTATGAAAAATTGTAGCGCATATTGCATAGTAGTCTGCGAGGGATGACTTTATGATTTGAACATAACTTTTTTATTAAATGAAAGCAATAATATTTTATATTCTGGTATGCAATACTTGACAAGAGACAGGTAGAACTCTGCAAGATGTGAACATTAGTAGAATTGAAAATTCTACAGTTATTAGGCAAAATGCTTTTAGTAATGCATTTCCTGCACTGAGCATGGTTTTTAATCCTTAATTTTTTTATTCTAAGTTATTATTATCATAAGAAAGATGAGCTGTGGTTTCTATTTTAAATGGCAGTAGCGCATATTTTTTGTGGAGTGTATAAGTATTTGCTTTGTGAAAATGAAAACTTAAATTTTCATTTTTTTATTCTACATAGACATACCATTAATGTTAGCTTACTATCTTGAAAGTTTATCATTTTTCTAAGTGCTGAAAGATTAATAAAGCTGATCCAGTGACTATCATTTCAAATTACTGGATGATTTAAATAAGCAAAGAAATTTTTTCATTTTTAGCCCAAATTTATTGTCCTGTCTATTGGAAATTCTAAAGATATGCTGTTTTGAAATATATTTAGTCCAAAGGGACATTAGCTAAAGTGCTGTTAAACTTATATTTGTGTATAAATGGAAAAAACTCCTCTGTGGATATAGTATAAAATCTAAAAGCTTACAGACTTTTTTATTGGGATTTGTTTTATGAGATCTGATTGTTCTGATATATTCTTTTAGCATAGTGACCTGATTAACACTTAAATTGATTGTGTATACTAGTGAATACTGGCCATAAAAACTAGACGTGAATGCCACTAGAGGATTTGAGACAAACTTTTTTTAAAAAAATTGACCATAAGTATTAGAAGTAATTTCCACTAGTGGATTTAAGACAAACTAGTAAAAAAAATAGGAACAGGTGTTGTTATTGTCCACATATTATGCACCGAATGTTACTTTTACTTATTTTTGCAATGTATCATAGCTTAAGACAAACTAAGCAACATCTTTTGCATATAACTTCAGATTTTCTCTCATCTTGTCTCATGGAAGCTTTCCTCAATATTTTCTGAAATGTAGACGATCACAAAAAATACGTTTAGCCTTTTCATGCATGGATGAAATAAGAGCTGAAGCAGAAGGGATATTATATTTTGAAGTATCAATTCCCTTTTTAAACTTAGTTTGAATTCTGAAATGTAATCAAGCCAAATTTATCATTTCCCCAATATTAACTTAGTTTGAATTCTGAAACATAATCAAGCCAAATTTATCATTTCCCCATTATTAACTTCCTGATTTAAAATTGTATGAGCTCCTTAAGGAATCCTTGACCACTTTCAGCAACCTCATTGCTACCATGAGGAAGGTTGGACACTCAGTATCTTTCCCAAGCTCTCAAAGCATCTTCAGGAAGACGAGACTCGACAGGAAGAGACAAGAAATCTACAAACTTTATACCTTCCTAATGTATCTAAAGCTTTTAAATTGATTCAGGTTGATCATATAAAGTAATTAAAAGTATATATTTCCTACCACTTATGGCATTTTTCGTTACCATTGTGAGTAATTCATGGGCATACACTTATACTAGCAATTCTCTGCCAAATCTTTTTTTCAAATACTCAATCACTTTGGGGTCATTCTGAGCCACGGGTTTGGGGCTCTCTGTTAAACTAGCAGCTTGAGACCCAGAAATAATTGCCTGAATCAAACACTGGAATCTATCTTCAGCCGGTATGTCTTCATCCTCATGAATTCTGGAAAACTGACTTCAGTATCCCAAAAAGGATTTCATATCTCCATTAAATCTCTGAATTTTCAATTTTGACAATGGTGACTTTTGATTACATAGTGACTGAATTGATCTATCATCAGAAATTATTTCAACATGTTCAGCCTTTAACTTAAAAGAAAAGCATTATTCTCTGTAATTTTCAGCTTAGCTGAAATCCTTAACTTGATCTTTTTTTTATCTTTTTTTTAATGATCTTTTTTTTAATGTTTAAATTCAAATCTGACCTTGCTTATTTTGTAGTTATACGAATTTCTGTTGTGGACGGGAATTAATATATTGTAACTCCTTAAGAGAAGGAACACAGAAACATATTATAGTCATGAACTAAATATTTTGTTTTGTATTAAAACACTTTTAATAACTTAGAATGCTTAGACATTTTTTATTATCAGAAGTTATAAAATATTTTCTCTATATTAAAACATGCCTCATTGTTATAGATACATACAAAATAAAAGCCAATTCTAAAACCAATAACAATGAATATTGGTATGCAACACACAGACACTTGCATCTCAGTTTTATTTGGAAATATCAGGTACTAAATATTAGCAGTGACTTTATTTTTCTTTCACATATACTATTAATCATCTATTTTAAAACCTGCTTGTTTTCAAAACAGTTATTAAATATGTTTTTGGCCTAAAAATATTGAAAATGTTCTGAAAATGAGTTTGCATAAGTATTTAGACATTTTGAATAAACAATTTATATTTAATAAAAACATGCAAATAATGAGACATTCAGTAAATAGACATCTGAATGGACATCCTTTAACTAAAATTACATTTTTCATGCACTTTGGCATGGAATCAATTAATTTTCTTCATGTAAGAATTCTTTTAATAGGGCTTTAGAATAAATATCATGTTTCCTGATTCTTTTCTTCAACTCGTTTCATATATTCTCCATAGATTTACCTCTGCATATATTTTGGAAAAGTTTGGACAGCTTTAGGACAGTTGTATATAACCACAAGCAAGAATTTAGGGATATATTTTTAGGATGGTTATCCTGATAGAAATTGAATGTATTTTGCACTTCAAGTTTCAGGTTTCGATTAAGAATATCAATATATTTATACTAATCCATATTATTTTTTATAAACTTTAAATTTCTTATTCCAAAGGAAGCAAAACATTCCAAAACCATTATGCCTCTATCCCCATGCATAACATTAGGCAACAGGCTTTTCAAATTCAGTTCTTAATTTGAACATTGCCTTATATTAATTCATCTATCAGACTCAAATATATAAAATTTTCACTTTTCTGCATATGTAATATTGCTTCAGTATGATAAAGCTTTTGCTTACTGTAGATTTTGCAAATGCAATACATTTTCCTTCCTTCCTTGTAGACAAAAAGTATCCTTGCTGATCTCCCATTATATTCATGTGCCCTAAATGATTCTTCTAAAAGCTTAAGGGTTAACATTTTATTGCAAACCCTTCTGAATTTGCTTGATGTTTTGCAGTTCTAAATTTTGAATCTTGTTTGATTTTTCAAAGACTAAATCTGCGATCCTTTGGTGTTAGCTTGGAATGTGGTCCAGGCTTCAGTGTACTTTAAGCAGTTCCATGCAATTTCCCTAATTTTAGTAGATCAAACATAGTTAAACGCTTTGCATCAACGATTGTTTCAATATTTCAAATGCTTTTTAAATAGATGAACTTTTAAATTTCTAAAAGAACTGGTTAATTTTTGCAGCATCTTTCTATGTTCACTTCAGATGTGGAAGTGTTGACACATTTTGCTAAACAAGTGAATATTTCCAAATGCAAACAATAGTTCTTGTGATCTATTTTCTTTTAAAACAAGAAATTATAACAAGAAATATTTCAACAAAAATTTGGTTTGTTTGAATTATTATGCGAGTTACTGATAATCGCTTTTTGAATAAATTATTATTTCAAGGAATATTTTGATAATATTTAATTTACCACAAACAAAGTTTAAAACAGAGGAAAATATGTTTAAAAATTTGTGAAATCTGTGTTGCAATATTTAGTACAAGATCTATTCAAATAAATTAAAAAAATACAAGTGTGAGCCACTGAATATTGCATTTTTTTATGGAATTTTCTGCAAAGTAAAAAGCATTAAAAAGTGATGTCTTGGAGTTTCATAGATACAATGAGATAATGATATCAATTATGAACCCACATTCTATCTTAGTTTTTAAAATTGTTGGCTCTGCTTTTTGTTTAGATTGCATATATCATTTACTCTAAAAAATTTTCATTCT